CTTATTTGGGTTATTTGCATCCTCTCCTGTTTTTCTTTTGTCAGTCTGGCCAGTGGTTTGTCAATTTTGTTGATCCTTTCAAAGAACCACCTTTTGGTTTTGTTGATTCTTTCTATTGTTTTCCTCTTCTGTATTTCATTTATTTCTGCTCTGATCTTTATTATGTCCTTTCTTCTAGTGGCTGTGGGCTTTTTTTGCTGTTCTCTTTCTATTTGTTTAAAGTGTGTAGTTAATGTTTTGATTTTGTCCCTTCTTTTTTGATGTGTGCATCTATTGCTATAAATTGTCCTCCTCTTCAGATGCCCTATTCTTTCTTTTTTTTTTCTGGGAGTCCATTTACACATATGTTGGATTATTTTATTTTGTCCCACTGCTCTTGGATGCTCTGTTCTTTTTTCCCTCACTCTTTGTGTTTCAGTTTGGATAAACTCTACTGATTTATCTTCAAGTGCATTAATTATTTCCTCAGCTGTGTTGAGGTTGCTGCTAAGCTCGTCAAAGGAGTTCTTCATTTCTGATACTGTGTTTTTTATTTACAACATTTCCATTTTACTCTTTTTTATAGTTTCCATCTGTATTGAAACTCTACACCTATTCATACATGTTGTTCACCTTTTCTACTAGATCATTTAACATGTTACTCATACTTATTTTAAAGTCCCTATCTGAAAGTTCCAACATCTGTGTCACCTCTCAGTCTTGTTTTGTTGGATGGTTTATCTCTTGACAATGAATTTTTGTTGGTAGTGGTTTTTTTTTTTTTTTTCTTCTGCTTTTGTGTTTCCCATAATTTTCTGTTGAATGCCAGACATTATTATATAGAAGAACTGTAGAGACAGGTAAATAAATAGTATTTATACCTAGAAATGGTTGCCATTAGTGTGGAGGCTTGAGTCAATCTAGTCAGTAGTTGAGCTGGGTCTGGGTTTTGTTACTACCTTCAGTGCACCACAGATTTCATGTTCCTCCAGCAGTGGGCTACTGCTGCCTTGTGCTTTTTGTGGAGCCTACAGTGCTAGGGAGTTTTTCTCATGTTCCTGCTCCATCCTCAGCCTTTAACAATCTCTGTACCATAGAAGGGATCTCTCTTCATGTTCTTACCTCTCTCAGAGGTAGACTGCTATTTCATGTTATCAGTATTAGGCTTATGGTCGGCACAAGGGAGATTTCTCAGTTGTCCTGTACAAACCTTAGTCTTGAGTAGGGTCTGTGGGCCAAGCTCTCTCAGCATTCCTACACCACCCCTCGATGGCAGCCATACTGTGCATTGTATCTGTCTTGGACCATTTCTGCCCCTCCCCAGCAGTAGCTGACCTCTCTTTTGTACTGGGCCCAAGAGATTTCCTCCCCCTCTCCAAGGGGCAAACAGCTTTTGCTTCTACCTTTCATCCAGAAGCATAGAATCTTTTTCTGGGCTTGACCTTTACGAATTCATTAACATTTTAGCTGCTTTCTTTTCTCCCTCTACTATGCCAGCCACCTCTTCCTCCTGTATTACCAAAGTTGCAACAGCTCTGTGCTGGTGTCTTCTTGGTGGGGCTTGTCATGCTCTGGAATTCCGTTCAGTTGCTTGCCTGGTAACCTCAGCTCTCTGATAGGCTTCAGAAAAGTTATGATTTTTTAGATTATCTGGTTTTTTCTCATTGTTAGCATGGGAGCAATGTTCTCTTGCAGCTTTGTACATCATAAGTGGAAGCAGAACTGTTACGTATTTTAATGTGTAGGATTTTATGCTCAAAATCATGGACAACATAAAGGACTTTTCAAGGTGGTTTCTGTACACACAATTTTTAACTCATTAGCTGACGTTAGAACCTGACCCTGCATAAGGTTCAAGGGGCACCTGTCCCACAGGGTCTTACAAGGTACATAAAGTGTCTGGCACAGGGCTTGGCACACAGTAGGTGCTCAGTACATGGTTATGATAGTTATTTTTAGTATAATGGGGTGCTGTACAGAGAGGAGACAGAGGTGTGCTACCTTACAGGCACTTTAGGTACCTTGTAAGAGAGGGAGGCATGCCACCTTACATATTTAAGATAAGCCAGCAGGGGACTGACAAGGAATTCCAAGCACACTTATGTTTCTAAGCATGAGGCATCAAGAGGCATAGAACCAGCTTCCTCCAAAGCTGGTGCATTGTGTTGGTTACTGTCCCTCCAAGGCTTCACCCTGGGTTGGAAGCCAGGAGAGACAGTCTGGCCTTGGGCATCTGTTGCCCCTGATTACTGAAGTTCGATACAGCAGGCCTTATGAGGGACACAGGCATAGAGTAGGGGCGGTGGCCTGGAGACAAACAGGGGTCTAGGCTGCCACAGAGAGGTCAAATGACCATCCCCATAGCACACAGAAAGGCGGTGGTGTCAGGACCTAGGTCTGAAAGGGCTTGCCTGATTGTGGACAGCCCAGAGCTTGGCATCCTACAGAGCTGGGCACAAGTTCCAGGCCTGCCGCTGACAAGAGGTGAGATTTTGAGAAGGCCTTTCTGGGCTTTGTTTTCCTTCTCTGAACAGGAGCAATGCCACCCCTTGCAGAGGAGATAAGACCCCTTGGCCTGACCATTTCCCCCTGTCTCTGCTCCTGCCCACAGGAAAATCTGCAGAAGCTGGTCCACATTGAACACAGTGTCCGGGGCCAAGGGGATCTCCTCCAGCCAGGAAGGGTGAGTGCTGCCATGGGCAGGGGCAGAGGGCGGTCAGGCTGGCAAGCAGGCGAGGCTCCGATAAGCCCCATTGTTCAGCTGGGCTGGCCCCAGACAGGCCTGGCTGCAGGTGCTGTTTACCCATGGAGGAAGGGAGGGAGGAATGCTGGCTCTGCTGGGCTCACCCAGACCCATCGGCTGCCTCTGCTGGGTTTTTCCACGCGTGCGTCTGCTCTCCGGGCACGCCAGCTGGGTTCAGTGCTCCCTGGAGTTACTGGGAAAGCAGGAAAACTCTCTCTCAAGAGCCCCAACAAAACATCTTAAAAATAACATTCATCAAGAGACAAGTTTACCCACTCTTAAGCTTCCAAATGGAAAACAAACGTCAGCTCAATAAATGGTCAAAAATATGCTCATTACCGGCTGTAGCCCATGAAGTACAAGAGATAAAGGGATGAAGGATTGTGGTCAGGAGATTTTATTCAAAATTAGCATGGATTTCACTGGCCTAGGATATTCTGGCCTAGGTTGTCAGTTCAGTAAATATTAAGCACCCTTTTGTATCTTCCAGAATTAAGGGGCCTGCAGCAACTGTTCACAGGTCTTCAGCTGTTTTAGCAAACCTTCAGAGGCTGTGTTGTGAACGGTTACTTTCCTTATGGTGGCAGACCAGGGAGGGAGTCATTGTTTGGACCACTCTGGCCAGAACAGTGTCTGGGGCTTGGTACAATACTTGGCAGAGTGCTCCTGGAAGGCCAGGGAGCCTCACTATCTTCACTGGCTTCTCTTGCATACATGGAGTAGCACTTACAAGCTGGGAATTCACCCACAGCTCATCTCTGATTCTTTGGGGGAAATTATAATTTTTCTCCACTCAACGGCTTCCCTCCCCTGTCCCTGGCAGCGAGGGAGAATTGTTGCTCCCCCCAACACACACACACACTCTTTGGGACAGCTCAGAGAATCGGCCTGATCACTGAGCTTTGCTTCTCTTCCCGCAGGAGTTTCTGAAGGAAGGGACGCTGATGAAAGTAACAGGAAAAAACAGACGCCCCCGGCACCTGTTTTTAGTAAGTACCTGGCCCCTCAATCCTGTCCCCGGGCTGTCAAGTTCTGTGAAACTTTCTAGAGCCAGCCAGCACTTGGGAGCAGCTGGGCGAGAGGGAGGAAGAGGAGAGCAGAGCAGAATCTCTAGGATGAGGATCATTTGGTACAGCTGAGCTTTCCAGAAAGCCGAGAGCTGAACCCTTGGAAACCACAAACCATCATTCATTTAATATTTGAATGATTTTGAGTGGAATGTTGCTAAAATGTAATTACCCATGTCTCTGCTTTCAACATCAGAAAACCAGGAAATTCTTAAAATGGGAATAACTGTCTGGTTCAGCTGCCTTATTTATCACATGGGAAAACCGAGGCCCAGATACAGAGGCTGACTTGGCCGAGTCCCCAGCATGTTGTTGGCAGAGCCCCAGAAGGGACCCAGGATTGTGACCCCAGTCCAGCACTTGTCCCACTGCACAGGAGACTGAATGTAATTTAACGTTTTTGAGGGTTTTCAGCCAGGACCTTGAATACCAGGGAATGTCTGGGCCCATGGTGTATATGTAGTATTGTCAACCTCAGTGACTGCTGTGCTAGGAGCAGCTCTGTGCCTCAAACCTGTGACCCAAAGTTGCAATGCTTTATAAGCTGAGTATAATTTTTCTCTGCAGTCTTTCACTTTAGCTGTCATTTCTTGTTATCGTCGGTAATGGCAGCCTCTAACATCCTCCTTAGACTTTGTATCTACTGTGCCAGGTTGGAATTGTGTGTAAAGTAATAGTCAATAGGCTGTGAGTGGGGTCTAAGAGCTCTCTTGGTTTCAGATATTTACTGAGCCCCTTCTATGTGCTGGATACTGGAAACAAAGAGAAAAGTCACATTCCCTCCCCTCAACCTTTATAATCTAGTGGGAGAGAGAGAGAGAAACAGTTAAACAGACAGTTGTAAATATGAAGTTATGAGGATGCTGTGGAGGGAATCGCAGGGAGCCATGTGAGCAAAGAGGACCAAGGAGAGTCAGGGAGTAAAAAGAAGATGAACACCATAACATCAGCAGCTGACATTTATTGAGTGTTTATTGGGTGCTGCATCCTGCCCTAGGAGGCAGTGGCAGAGTTCGGTGGTAGAACTCTCACCTTCCGTGCAGGAGACCCAGTTCAATTCCCAGATAATGCACCTCAGCTGCAGCCACCACCTGTCTGTCAGTGGAGGCTTGTGTGTTGCTATCATGCTGAACAGGTGTCAGTGGAGCTTCCAGTCTAAGATGGACTAGGAAGAAAGGCCTGGTGATCTACTTCCGAAAATCGGCCAGTGAAAACCCTGTGGATCACAACGTCCGATTTACAGCTAATCGTGGGGATGGTGCAGGACCAGGCGTTGTTTCATGCTATTGTAAGTGGGGTCGCCAGGAGTCGGGGTTGACTCAACAGCAGCTAAAAACAACAATGCCCTGTGCTAAGTGTTTTATGTGTTTCCTGGAGAAAATGATACCTGAGCTAAGCCCTGAAGGAGGAGGATAAGAGTTTGGCAGGTGCACAAAGGAAGGGCAGTTCAAGGAGGGAACAGCCTAAGCAAGGTATAGAGGTGAGAGAAGCATGGTGTGTTTGGGGGACCACTATGAATCTGTGAAATCTTTGGCTGCAGATGGTCAGGCCCTTCCACTCATAAGACCAGTCTCAGCCATACCCCATATGGACCTTCCCCAGAGGGGGCCACATGAGGGCTGAATTTCAGAGAGGGCTGATGGTACTGAGTAGCTCACCATTCACGGGAGCTTCAGAAGTCCTGAGCCTGGCCAGAAAGGGGGAGTCTGCGGCTGCCTGTCGGTGCTCTGGCCTCATTGGCTTCTTTCCTGAGGCCCAGGCTCAGTGGACCCCTCTGCTTGGTAGAAGCACGTGGTGAACCAGGCTCAGAGTCTCCTTCCTCTGCTCCCCACAACAGAGCTCTGTCTTCTCTGCTGTGAGGAGCCCTGTGCTCTGCCTGGCTGGTAATGCAGTGCGAGGAGGAGCTTTGGCTGAAGAAAAGAGAGATTAGGCCCCTGGGAGGACCTGAGAAAGGAATCTAAGGGCCAGCAGTGCACAGTCCGGATCTGAGTTCTCAAAAGGATCTTAAAAGCTCCCAACAGATGCTTGCATCCCTTTCTCTAAGTAGTTTTGTTTTTAACATAGATAATATAAAAGTTGCCATTTTCATTTTTTTAAGTGTACAATTCAGTGGCATTAATTATATTTACAGTGTTCTGCAATCATCATCTCTGGGTAGTTCTTTGACCTCTGCTTACATACCTCTGGTGATGGGGAGCTCACTGTCTGTTGTAACAGTCATTCATTCTACAAGTCCTTATTGGTCTCTTGCGTGCCAGGATCCCTGATGGGTGTGTAGACCCGGTCCTTGCCCTGTCGTGGATCTTGGAGTCTAGTGGGGAAAACAGTCCTTTGTTTCATGTTAAACACTCGACTCTGACTCACAGCGACCCAATGTGTGTCAGAGTAGAATTGCACTCCATAGGGCTTTCAGTGGCTGATTTTTCAGAGATAGATTGCCAGGCCTTTCTTCTGAGGCACCTTTCAATAGACTCAAACCTTTCAGTTAGTAGCCAAGCACCACCCAGGGACTCCAGTTCCATGCTAGAGTAGTCTAAATATTTGAAAACTCTATTGAGGAGAAAGCTGTCTCTGTGAATTTAGGGATATCTATGTGGTAATCCTCACAACTGGACCAATAAGCAAATCATGATAAATGGAGAAAAGATTGAAGTTGTCAAGGATTTCATTTTACCTGGATCCACACTCAACGCCCATGGAAGCAACAGTCAAGAAATCAAACAATGTATTGTGCTGGACAAATCTGCTGCAAAGGACCTCTTTAAAGTGTTAGAAAGCAAAGATGTCACAGGAGAACTAAGGTGTGCCTGACCCAAGCCATGGTGTTTTCAGTTGCCTCATATGCATGAGAAAGCTGGACAATGAATAAGGAAGACCAAAAAAGAATTGTCCCGTTTGAATTATGGTGTTGGCAAAGAATTATGGTGTTGGCGAAGAATATTGAATATACCATGGACTTCCAGAACAGTGAACAAATCTGTCTTGCAAGCAGTACAGCCAGGATGTTCCTTAGAAACGAGAATGGCGAGACTTCATCTCATGTGTTTTGGACATGTTATCAGGAGGGCCCAGTCCCTGGAGAAGGACATCATGCTTGGTAAAGTAGAGGGTCAGCGAAAAAGAGGAAGACCCTCAACGAGTTGGATTGTCACAGTGGCTGCAACAATGGGCTCAAACATAGCAACGATTGTGAGGATGGCGCAGGACCGGGCAGTGTTTCTTTCTGTTGTACATAGGGTGTCTGTGAGTCAGAACAGACTCGAGGGCACCTAACAACAATATGCTAATGAGCCAGACTGAACTGGTTAGATTCTGACCTGATCACATACCCCTCAGTAGCCCTTAGACAAGTCACAGACACGTCTGAGCCTCAGGCTTCCCACCAGGGAAGTGAAATAGTGATGGTTTTGAGGATTAAATGAGAGGTCGTATGTGCCTGCACCAGAAGCCACATATTGATGAGAACCTGCTCCTCCTCTCTGACAGCTGCCCCCATGGGTCGCAGGGCCTCCCTCGGCCCGTGCACAGCCCTGCAGAGGTTTGGAGCCCCCACCTGGATCCCCTTGAGTCCTTCTTCCCTAGGAGGAAAAAGGGAGCTCATCCAGGGTGGGGATGAGAAGTGTGGGCTTTGGAGGCAGCCAGACTGGATTCAGGTCCCAGCTCTGACACTCCCTAGCGGGAGACCACAGGCAGATCCCTTCCCTTCTTGGAGCCTCAGCTCCTTTCTCTTTAAAACGGGGGTGGGGGGGCGGGAATGATGCCTCCTGTAAACAAGGGAGGAGCCCTAGTGGCACAGTGGTTAAGCACAGAGCTGCTGACCAGAAAGTCGGCAGTTTGAACCCACTAGCTGCTCCACAGGAGAAAGATGTGGCAGTCTGCTTCTGTAGAGATTTGGAGCCCTGGTGGTGCAGTGATTAAGAGCTCGACTGCTAACCAAAAAAAGTTCTCAGTTCAAATCCACCAGCCGCTCCTTGGAAACCCTATGGGGCACTTCCACTCTGTCCTGTAGGGTCGCTGTGGGTCAGAATCAATTTGACAGCAGCGGCTTTGTTTTTTTTTTTTTTTTACGGGTAAACAAGGAAAGCATTTGAAGGGCAGTGGATCGGTATGAGCTCCAGCTTCATCCTCCAGCTATCTGCCATCTGGTCCCTTCCTCTGGCCCTGCTTAGCCTGTCCCTGCCCCTCTCATGGGGACCTTGAATGCCAGGCAGAGATGCTCTCAGTCTCCCCGTCTGTCCTCACCCAGCCTTTCCTGTCTGCCTAGAACTCTATGTCCCAGCCGCTCTGAGATGCTCCGATGTTGCTTCTTACATGCAGCCTGCCTGCCCGCCCATCAGCACCGGTCCAGCCTCCATCCTGGTATCCCTCTCGCTATGTTGACAGCCTGCGTCTCTCTGATTCCCTGCTGTTATTGTGCCACAAGCTCCCCAAGTCAGAGCCTGGGCTCCTCTCTGTCCCAGCACAAGACCTGCCCTGAGTAGGTGTTGTAAATACTGGGCGGGGGATAGACGGGAGGATGGACAGACAGGTTCCGGCACCAGGAAGCGGCACGATGAACACACTTGAAGAAGAATCTTTCTGCCTCCTAAGGTAGCAACTCCGTAAAATACCCTGAGCTGCAGAACAAAGTCAGGGCACCTGCCCCCAGTACACCAGGGTTTCAGTGAAGCTGTGGAGAGGAGGGTGCTCACCGTGGCCCCAGCACCCCTCCGTCCAGAGCTAGCAGGTGGGCTGCCCACTGTGGTTCGTGATTGTGGGAAGCCCCCACCCCTGCATGAAGAATTCCTCCCCCTTCGTCCAAAACGGGGGCTGTAAAGCACGTGCTTTGAAACGGGCAGGAGAGAGCTCAGTTAGGAGAGAACACGGTCCTGAGCCACTAAGAAAACCTCAGGGTGCTGATGGCGGTTGCCAGGGCAGCAGGTGCTCCAGGGCAGTCACAAAAAGGCGGGGACTGCGCTGGCAAGTTACACAGCCAATTTCCGAGGGTGGGAGGGGCTCATGAGCCAGGCTCTGTGACCAGCTTTGGTCGCTGTTCCAGTTAGGGCCAGGATTCCCTGCAAGACAACTCCCCCTCACCCCCACAACACACACACAGCGCACACGCATACCGGAGAGACACACTCGCTTATTTAGAACCCTGGCTCCACTACCTACTTGCTTTGTGACCTTGGGCAAGTTGCCCAGCCCCTCTGTGCCTCAATTCCTCCGTCTGTGAAGTGGGGATGAAATGATAGTGCCTGCCTGATAGGATTGCTGCGGGAGTTCATTGAGATCATTCATGTCAGGGGCTGAGCCCAGTGTCTGGCACAGCGTAAGTGTTGCATGCGGGAAAGCTGCTTTCATTATGAGCGGGGCAAGCAGGAGGGGGCTTCAGAGGCGCCTCTGGTCCAGCCACGCCCGCTCGTTTACATGTGATCTATGCTGCTTGTGTGGCACAGTGGCAGAGTTAAGTACTCTAATAGACACCAAATGACCAACAAAGCTGAAAATATCTGCTCTCTGGCCCTTTACAGAAAATGTTCACCAACCCCTGGCCTAACCCAAGCCCATTAGGGAGATTGCAGCCCAGAGAGAAGAAGGGACTGCCTGAGGCCACATGCAACCCCTGGCCTAACCCAAGCCCATTAGGGAGATTGCAGCCCAGAGAGAGGAAGGGACTGCCTGAGGCCACATGGCAGGTCAGCGTCCAGGCCAGGTTGGAGTCCAGGTCCCCCACTGCTATGCCTGTGACCCTGGGGCTCCCAGAGAGCTGGTACTGGGAGGACTTATGCCTCTGTCCCCTGAGCACACTGTTGGGTGACAGGAAGGGTGGATGTGTCAATCCTAAGTTCTTACTCTGGGTCAGACACTTAGACGTGGTCCTGCCCAGTCCTCCCCACGCTCCTGGCTTAGGTGGGCTGCCGTGCCCAAAGGGCTTCCTGGGTGGCAGCCACTCTCTCAGTATCCATCGTCAGGTAAGGACGGTGGTGCTCCCCATTTCTCAGGTGAGGAAGCTGAGGCTCAGAGCAGGGAAAGGACTTGTGCACAGCCACACAGCTGGGGTAGAGCAGGGTCAGGATTGACAGCCCTTCACTGTCCTGAGTCCTTCAGACTTTATACCTTTAAGTTAAGCAGTAAGTCTCTCCTAAGGAAGTGACAGGACTTGCATTCTGTTTCTTCCTGTCTGTCCTGCATGGGTGGGGAGCTTCAGTTGTTCATTCCACAGGTGTTCGTTGAGCACCTACTATAAGCCAGACACTGGGGGTTTACAGTGAGCAGGACCCACCAGACCCCCATCCTCAGGGAGTTCTCTCCTTCTTTCCTCCCTCCCACTCTCCCTCCTTTTTTCTCTCCCTCCTTTGCTCCCTGTCTCCTTCCATACCTCCATCTCTCCCTCCATCCCTCCATCTCTCCCTCTATCCCTCCGTCTCTCCCCACTTCCTCCCTCCATCCTTTCCTCTATGCCTCCCTCTGTCTCTCCCTCCCTCCATCTCTCCCTCTGTCTCTCCCCGCTCCCTTCCTCCATCCTTCCCTCCATCCCTCTTGCTCTCCCTGGTTTCCTTCCTTAACTCCACTTTATCAAGGTTTAATTTATACAGAGTTGTTGTTGTTAGGTGCCATCAAGTTGGCTCCAACTCATGGCGACCCTTCATACAACAAAATGAACTGTTGCCCAGTCCTGCACCATCTTTACGATCGCTGGCATGCTCGAGTCCATTGTTGTGGCCGCTGTGTATTTTGAGTGTCTTCCAACCTAGGGGGCTCATCTTCCAGGACTATACCGTACAGTATTCTGTTGTGATCCATAGGGTTTTTACTGGATAATATTCAGAAGTAGATCACCCGGCTTCTTCCTCGTCTGTCTTAGTCTGGAAACTCCACTGAAATCTGTCCACGATAGGTGAGCATGCTGGTATTTGAAATACTGGTGGCATAGCTTCCAGCATCACAGCAACACACAAGCCACCACTGTATGACAGACTAATGCACTGTATGACAGACTTCAGTGCACATGTCAATGCGTTTTGACAAATGTGTATCATCATGTAATCACAACCTGGCTCAAGATAGAGAACATTCTTAGCCCCCTAGAAAGTTCCCTTGTGTTCCTTCTCAGTCACTTTTCCCCACCCCCAACCCAGGCAAGCACTGGCCTTTCTGCCACTATTGATGAGTTTTGCCTGTTCTGGAGCTTCATGTAAATGTGGTCCAATCATGCGTGCTCTTTTGTGTCTGCTGCTTTCACTCAGCATGTTTGAGATTCAGTTGAAACAGAGCAGGGTCCGGACTGACAGCCCCTGCACCATCCTGAGGGTGACAGTGTCCTTCAGACTTTACATCTTTGAGCTAAGCAGAAATAAGGAGAGAGTTGTTGTGTGTATCTGCAGTTTGTTCCTTTTGACTGCTGAGTAATATTCCATTGTGTGGATGTACCACAGTTTGCTTATCCATGCACCTGTTGATAGACATTTGGGCTGTTTCAAGTTTGGGGCTTTTACGAATAAAGCTGCTGTAAACACTCTTTCTGTGACTTTCTGCAGGTATGAGCGTTTATTCCTAGGAGTGGAATTATGGGGAAGGGGCTCATGTTTTAACACAGAGTGCTATTCAATGTAGGGCAGCTGCTGTCATTTTGAGCAGGGCAGAGCAGGAGGGGGCTTTGACGGCTCCTCTGGTCCAGCCACACCTGCTCGTTTACATATTGTTTACATAACTACCCTGTGGAAATGCAGGATGCCTTCGCACCCCAAGGCTCAGTGACTCCCCCACAGGCAGAGACCCAGTGCAGTCTTCTGACTGGGTTTTCCTTCTCCCCAGATGAGCGACGTGCTCCTCTACACTTACCCCCAGAAGGACGGCAAGTACCGGCTGAAGAGCACGTTGGCAGTGGCCAGCATGAAGGTAGTGCCCGGTGCTAGGCACCCCGGGGTGGGATGGGGGGAACCCCCGGGGAGGAGGAGAACCCCGGGAGGGGGATACCCAAGGAGAGGAAGGGATGTCAGGGGAGGAGAAGATCCTGGGGAGGAGGGTACCCAGGGGAGGAGGAGGTCACGTTCTGGCCTCTAGGAGCACACTGACCAGCTGTGAAGACGGAGGCCATAGGGAAACAGTGTTACATTGTGGGTTATGGTGGGTTTATGCTACAGGTAGTCCAGGGAGAGGGGAAGGGGATGGAGGACTTCCTGGAGAAGGGAAGCTCAGTCGTTTAGAGTAGATGATACTTGAACAAATGGGGAAGGGAGAGAGGGAAGGGCATTCTAGGAGGAGGACAATGCCTCAGAAAAGGCTTGGAGGTAGGAAACAAGCAGGGGTTTGGGCTGTATTTCTTGAACAAATGTAAGAGAGATGCCGGCCTGGCTGGAAGTCTCGTGGGTGAGGCTAGAGAGACAGGAGGCGGCCTAGCCACGTGGGGCCTAGCTCAGAGCAGCTTGGTCCTGGGGACGAGGATGGTTGGGAGGTAATGAGGATTGTTTGTAACTTAAAAAAAAGTTATAGTGGTAAAATATAATACATAACATAAAATTTGCTATTTTAACCATTTTAAGAGTACAATTCAGCAGCATTGATTACATCCACAGTGTTGTAAAATCTTCACCACCGTCTATTTCCAAAACTTTTCATCACCCCAAGCAGATACTCTGAACCCATTAAGCAATAACTTCCCATTCCCCTTATCCACAGCCCTTGGTAAGTTAGAATCTACTTTCTGTGTCTATAAATTTACCACTTCTAGATATTTCATATCAGTGGAACCATGCAATATTTGTCCTTTTGTGACTGACTCGTTTCACTCAGCATAACGTTTTCAAGGTTCATCCATATTGTAGCATGCGTCAGGACTTCATTTCTCGTTGTGGCTGAGTAATATTCCACTGTATGTACCACATTCTGTTTATCCATTCATCTGTTGATGGACACTTGTTTCCACCTTTTGGCTATTGTAAATAATGCTGCTCTGAACATTGGTGAACAAGTATCTGACTGAGTCCTTGCTTTCAAGTCTCTTGGGTATATACCTGGGGGTGGGATTGTTGGGTCTTATGGTAGTTTTGTGTTTAACTTTTTGAGGAATTGCCAAATTGTTTTCCACAACAGCTGTACCATTTTACATGCCCACCAGCAATGGACGAGGGTTCCTATTTCTCCACATCCTTGCCAACACTTGTTTTCTGTTTTTCTGATAACAGCCATCCTAGTCAGGGGGACATGGTATCTCATTGTATGATAGGTATTCTCAAGGGTTAATGAGGTTTGGGAACATTACTTCTGGCACAGGGTGGGGTGGTGTCAGAGGGGAACACTGAGGTGGGAGAAGATATCAGTGGGTTGCTGTCATTTCTGAGGGCTGAGGTGAAAATGGTGAGGAGCGCTGTAGGAGGCATTCTGGGGTCTTTCACCCCTGTAGGCTCTTTTACACGGAGAAGGAGAAGATGGAAGCACCTTTCTTAGCAGGGAGGCTTGTTCCTTTTTGAACTAAAGGTTCCACTGAGGAGCCTTTTAAAAAAGGCCATGGAGACAGTGGTCATTGGTGGTCACATGTCCAGCATGCCTGTGCACACAGAGGCTGCTGAGGCTGGGCCCTGACAGTGACCACTTGGTGGCCTTCCTGGGGGTGGTGGGGGTGGCCAAGGGCCATGTCAGCAGTGGGGGCCCACCCACAGCATCTGCTGTCAGAGAAAGGTTTGCCCTTTACAGATGAGGAAACTCAGCTCAGAGGGGAAATAGCTTTAGGAGAATAATTGTCTGTGGCCACCCCTTCCTCCCCACCCTGACGGGGCTGCTCTTGGTTTTCCAGGTCAGCCGCCCTGTACTGGAGAAAGTTCCCTATGCTCTAAGGATTGAGACTTCTGAGTCCTGCCTGACCCTGTCTGCAAGGTACAGGGAGGTGGGCGGGAGGGCCTAGGACATAAAATGGCAAAATTTAAAGGTAGAAGAGTCTGGAATAACAAATGCTAGATAGGTCATCTTTTTTATTTTGGTATCCTTTGAGATCAGAGTTTTCCTTTTCTTCTGCAGAGTTTCTTAATAAGACCACTTTTGGGTCACAGGCCCCTTAGAGAATCTGATAGAACTATGGCTTCACTCAGCAGAAAAATACGCATACAAGTGAAATTTTATGTATAACTTCAGGGGCTTCTCGAGCCCATTGTTGAAATATAACAATAACAGTATCTAATGTTTTCAACAGTTTATCTCTTCATAGATTATTGGGTCTTTACAGCAATCCAGAAATAAAAAATAAGGAATGAACATTTCTTTGATTTATCTTTCCCAGCTTGAGGGTGGGGAGAGAAGAAAATACAGCCTTCCTACTAGGAAAAAAAACAATTGTCATCAAGTCGACCCTGGTGCATCGCAACCCCATGTATGCATCAGAGTAGAACTGTGCTCCGTAGGGTTTTCAATGGCTGGTTTTTTGGAAGTAGATTGCTAGGGCTCTCTTCTGAGGTGCCTTGATGGATTCAAACCACCAGCCTTGCATTTAGCAGCTGGGTGCTTTAACCATTTGTACCAGGCAGGGACTTCTTCTACCAGAAGTATCTGCTTTCCCTCCAGACACTCAGGTTGCCCAGGGGTCCCTCATAGCTCACTCCTCCTCTGACAAGGTGCAGTCATCAGTTTCCCGTCACTATTTAGTGCGAGATATTTGAGTTTTCTTTCTCTCACGGGTTTCCACCTTACACCGATTCCGGCTTTCGCAGGTTTTTCTGTAGTTAGTAACAGGGATGTACTGAACACCCACTGGGCTCAGGCTTGGTACTGAGCACTCTGCAGGCGGCCCCTCCTCTGATCCTGGTTAGCACCCTGGGAGGCCAGGGTAACAGCCACTTTCATGGAGGGGGAATTGTGGCCTAGCTAGGGGTTCGTACAGCTGTGTGAGGCAGGACTGGGGGCTGACCCCAGGACTGTGTCTCAGAGCTCTCAGCCACTACAGTCTACTGCCCCAGGGGCTAGAAGGTCTATTGGAATTTGGAGGAGGGGGTTCCTGGGCTGGGCTTGATGGCCTCTCCTCACTTCTTGGTAAAGTCAGGGGCATGAGGAGGCCCAGTGTGTCCTTTCTGCTTGCCCAGCCAGAGGGTGGTAACTGGCCACACTCCAGCCTTCAGGTGGGGCTCTCCATCTCCCCCAGGCAGGGGTACTGCCCTCTGGCCAGTGGCCTGGAGGAGCCACTCACCTACAGGCGGTCGCCTTCTTGCTAACCCAGATCCCTCACACTACAGCTCCCAGGGGACAGTGGGACCCAGACGGCTTCATTTAGGAACATGGCATCTAGCTATCCACCAAGCCAATTTGGCCTTTGCCGGCCAGAAGGAAGGCGATTTGCCAAACCCAGCCACCCTCACTGTCTCTCAGGCTAGACTGGTCCCTTGTTCATCCAAGGCCACCAGGGTCAGGCTGCACACTAATGTGAAGGGTGGGGGCGACACCTGGTGGACGCTGTGAGAATTCTCACCCAGCCGCCAGCGGTTGCAATGCACAGCCCCCGCCCCATGTCCAGGGCAGCTTACAGCCTGTGGGGGTCACTCACCACTCAGGAAACCCTGCCAGGCACAGGGCGGGTACTTGGAAAGTCTGTTTGTTGGATGAGTGAACGTCTGGGAAGTTATATGGGAAAATGAGGATGATGGAGATACTTTGACCAGCTCCAATCCACCCCATCCCTCCTCGTGCGACCAGACCTCTGTCCCTACTAACAGGCAGCCCACAGCACCCTTGAGTGGGGTTTCCACATTTCCTGGGACTCTGAGGGGCTGAAGAGCCCTCTGAGCCTTCATACTGCCCTTGCTTCTACAGAGTGCTTTGCCATTTACCCACCCCCCATCTCATCCTCACGGCCAGCCCGCAATTAGATAGACGCTGCTGCTGGTCCCATGTGATGAAGAAACAGGCCCAGAGCAACCCCTGGCCCATGGCCATCTGCTCATCAGTGGAGGGGCCAAGGTGAAGCCGGGGTCTGTCTCACAGATAGCCTGGTGCTTTGATGAAGGGATTTCAGGCTTGTGAAAGGCTCAGGTTTGGGGAGGGGGCATGGAGGGCTTCAGTACACTGAGAAGCATGCTGGGGGGAGTAGAGCCGTGCACACGCCGTGGCTGACGCCAGCTGGTACCCACAGCTCCTTTGCGGAGAGGGACGAGTGGTATAGCTGTCTAAGCAGGGCCCTTCCCGAGGACTACAAGGCGCAGGCCCTGGCTGCGTTCCACCATAGCGTGGAGGTGAGTGGTGGACGTGGGCCCCCAACTCAGCCTCAGAACTTGGGTTCCCTGGGAGGGGCCCCAGGATGGACCTGTTCCGCCCAGGTGAACTTGCAGCACCATTCATGAGGGCACTGGGTCCTCCTCCCCACTCCCTTCCGCCCCCCCATATCCTCCCCCTACCTAGGGGTGGTCACAGTGCAACCCAGGAGCACAGCACCCCCACTTATACTCACAGTCACACCCTGTTTCTAACCCCAGGTTAGCATCCTGGGACATTAGACAGGGACGGTTTTAGAATTTTAGAATTAGAACCCTACCCCCCCACCCCACACACGTATACACTCTGTACAGAGAAGGAAACTGAGGCCCATGGGTGGGGCTCACTCGGGCCACCTATCTAGCGGGTCTGACCACGGTGCTGGCCCCATGATTCTGTTGCTCCAGATGCGGGAGCGGCTGGGGGTTAGCCTGGGGGAGAGGCCCCCCACCCTGGTGCCTGTCACACACGTCATGATGTGCATGAACTGCGGCTGCGACTTCTCCCTCACGCTGAGGCGTCATCACTGCCACGCCTGCGGCAAGGTAGGTCTCCTGTCCGGGGAAGACGAGTGTCCCTGCCCAGCCGGAGAGTCAGGCTGCCCGAGCGTTAGGCCCAGAGCCCCGAGAGGAGGAGTAATTATTCCCATCTTACTGAGCCCTCAAAACAGGGCTCCAGATCCGGCCCATTCCACTACACCGTCACACCCTCCAAAGAAAACGACAGTGCTGTCAAGTCAACTCTGATTCATGACACCTCCATATGTGTGAGAGTAGAACCATGCTCCATAAGGTTTCCGGTGGCTGATTTTTTGAAAGTAGATCACTAGGCTTTTCTTCCAAGACACCTCTGGACTTGAACCTCCAACCTTTTGGTTAGCAGCCTAGTGTGTTAGCCCTTTACACCGCCCAGCCAAAGAAACTAGTACACGTGGTTGTTGTCCTTGGAGAAAAATATAGTGTCATGGTTGGGTGCACAGGCTCGTTGGAAAAGCAGGTAAGCCTGCACAGAAGCATGACACAGCCGGTGCCGGGAAAGCAGGGAGACACGGCATCGCCTGGAGACACGGGGCTCCCTGGAGGGGTGGGGGCAGCAGAGGAAGGGTGAAGCCTGCTCAGACAGGTGTTCCCACCTGGGCCTGCAGATCGTGTGCCGAAACTGTTCACGCAACAAGTACCCTCTGAAGTACCTCAAGGACCGGATGGCCAAGGTCTGCGATGGCTGCTACGGGAAGCTGAAGAAGAGGGGCGGGGACATCCCGGGCCTGATGAGAGGTAACACCCAGACCAGCCTCACCTGTCTCCCAGGGCGGCCTGGGAGGCTTCTCCCTGGCCCATGGTTCACGCCTGAAACCCGTTTCCCTGGGAGAGAGTTGTTCACTCCATGGAGGGAGGGGAGGCTAAGGAAAAAAAGCAGCCCTGGAGGAGGGAATAGAATGGTTTAAATCAGGGCTGGATTTATCAGTAAGCAGGGTGTGCACCGGCTTGCATTGAGCAAGGTATGCACGGGCTTAATTGTATTTACCTGCTAATCTGTGCTGAGCAATTTTACATGTGGGGACAGGTAACATTGTGCACTGCATGTTGGTGGAAAGGCACAATTGAGCCCATGCATACCTTGCTTATTGGATAATCCAGCCCTCGTTTAAAATCATACCATGGCACCAATTCCCAAAATGTAGTTTCCATGGAAAATTGATAGGTGTTCCCAGGAAGAGCATTCTGTGGTCATCTAAGTTTGGGACACACTGCAGTGTGGTTCTCATATTCACCATGGTGTTGTTAGCTGCGTTGAGTCTGCTCCGACTCACGGCCACCCCGTGTACAACAGAACAAAACGTTGCCCAGTGCTGCACCATCTTCATGATAGTTGGTTTGCTTGAATCCATTGTTGTGTCCGCTGTGTATTTTGAGTGCCTTCCAACCTAAGGCTCATCTTCCAGCACTGTACTGGACGATACACTGTTGTGATCCCTAGGGTTTTTATTGGCTGATTTTCAGAAGTAGATCACAAGGCCTTTCTTCCTAGTCTTACTTTACCATAGAGCCCCCTCTTTTTTAAGAGTGTCCTTTAGGCCTGTGTTCTGTGGTCCTCTTTTTGGGATCAAGGTTGCTGAGACTAATAGCTAAGTGTTTTCTGGTTCAGGGATGGGAAGGAGCCCCAAGAACCCAAGCAGGCCCTTGAGAAATTGTGCTTAAGAGTCAGGCTTTGCCCAAGCAGGGCCAGGCTGGAGGAGAGCAAATGTATCCTCCGCTCCCTGGGGCCTCACCGAAGGCAGAAGAGAGGATGGCCCAGCTCCAGCCTCATGCTTGTTAGTGCTCTGAGGCCTGGAGAAGAAGGGACCCAGCACCCTGGGAAAGCCTTCCTTCCTGACTCCCATGGCCTTGGCCTGTGTCAGGAGAAGGGAAGATGCCATCTGTCTGATCACACTTACCCCCTCGGTGAGCCTGTTTTAGATCTTGGGCAGGGGTTGTCAGGGGGACTCTGACCTTACAGGAAAGGTTGTGCCCTCCAGTCCATGTGGATGCTTACCTACCCCATGGCTTCTCTTGGTTACAGAGCGGCCCGTGAGCATGAGCTTCCCCCTGTCCTCACCCCGCTTCTCGAGCAGTGCCTTCTCATCCGTCTTTCACAGCATCAACCCCTCAACCTTCAAGAAACAGAAGAAAGTCCCTTCAGCCCTGTCCGAGGTAAGGCAGATGGGGCTGCCTGCATGGGAGGCAGCGGATTTGGAAGGTCCAGTGTCCTCCTGCGTGGACTGGGTCAGGCTTATGCTCCTTAGACCCTCCCCTGTCTCAGCCTGACCCTGTCTCTTCTGGACCAAGAGAATGCCTAGTAGGAGGGAGTCTGGCTACATGGGAGTCTGACTCGCCACTAAAAAGGCAAGGCCTGGTCTCCTTTCCAGCCCTTGAAAATAAGCCTGCCTTCTGGCATGACTAAGGTACCTTGATGGCAGAGGACAGCACCTGAAATTTTATAGGTGGTGCTAACCAGTTGCCTGTTGAGTCAGCTCCAACCTCTGGCAACCCCATGTGTGTCAGAGTAGAGCTGTGCTCCATAGGGTTTGTTTTGTTAAAAAATAATTTTTTATGCATTTTCAGTGAAAGTTTAGACAGCAAATTAGTTTCCCATTTGACAGTTAGTTACATTTTTCACAGTGTGACAACATTCTCTTTAATTGCGTTTTGTTTGTTCTGTTTCCAGTACTCTAGTTTTCCTGCCCCCTTATCTTCTCATCTTTGCTTTAGAGTAATTGTTGACCTTTTTGTGTCATATAGATGGTTTTTTAATGGAGCACCATACTTACGGATAATATCCTTTATTTTGTGTGCCAATTTGTGTGTTCACTGTTTAAAGAGTATCTCAGGGCGATAGTATCAGGGAGTCCTCTAGTCTCAACTGGTCAAGTAAGTCTGGACTTTTTAAGAATTTCAGTTCTGTTCCGTGTTTTTCTCCCATTCTGTCAGGGTTCATTTATTGCGGCCATGATCAGAATGGTTAGTAGTCGTAGCTGGGCACCATCTAGTTCTTCTGGTCTCAGGGTAGATGAGACTGTGGCTTGGGTAGGCTACTAGCCCTTTAGACTTAATTTCTTCTCTGACGAGTAGAGATCAATAATTCTATCTTAGATGGCTCCTCACAAGCTTTTAACACCCCAGATGCTACTCACCTAACTAGGATGCAGAACATAAACTTTGTGATACCAATTGACTGAGTTGTCCCATGAGACTAAGGTCCTGAGCCTTCACACCCAGAAAACCATTCTCACACGGTGTTTGGTTATGTCTGAGAGTATCTGTAACTGTGTCCTCTATGAATATATATGCGTGCATATACATATCTGTATGTACACATACATATAGATACTTCTGTCTGTTCACACCTATGTACTCACCTGTACTCATACCTACCCATACATATGTATGCCTATATACCTACATATATGACCATACACTCCTTTTTTGGTTATTGTTGGTGTTGTTGCCAAATTAGGTCATATTCTTCAGCACAAACATCTTTTTCTCTGTGTACTTCTTAGTGGCATCATTTACTTTGGTCAAGCTGTGCACAGGGTTTTCAATGGCCGATTTTTTGGAAGTATGTCACCAGGATTTTCTTCCAGGACCCTTCTGGGTGGACTAGAACCTTCAACCTTTTGGTTAGCAGTAAGGCTAACCATTTACTGCACTCAGGGACTTCACAGATAGTGCTAGGAGACTTCTTTCTCATCCTTCTCTCCTCCTCTCCGCTCCTCCTCTTTCTTTTCCTCCTGCCCATAGCCTAGGCCTGAGGATGTCCTCCAGAGGCCTTTCAAGAGTACTACACAGGTTACTAGGGGTCTGTAGGTCTAAAGGAGTGATGGTCACAGGTTAGTTCTCCCACACCAGGCCTTCTGCGCTGGACCACCCTCCACCCAGGGAGGGGGCCTTAAACTAGCTCAGGTGTGAGCCTTCCAGGGCCATGGGACTCTTTGTAGGAAACCTCAGAACGGGCTAAACTCACGTCCATCCTGCAAACTAGGAATCACTTTTGCTAGCTGCAAACAGGATCAGATTATACGTGTATGTGTATATTCTAATCACAGCCACAAACAAATGTGTACCAGTGAATATACAAGCTGTCCAACAGTGTCCAACAATATGTGATCAACTATTTCCAAGTTTTGCCATTGATATTCACTATCAAGTAGCAGGTGGCAAGGGTTTAAAAAAGTGTTATGGGATGAAAAATTTAAATGGGTACAGTTCTACTTAATTACTTTGGCTGATTAAAAATCTTGGCTATAACATACACATGGTAAAAAAATGTTTTTTCAAAAAGGCATAAAAGAATATATGATGAAAAGTGAGTTCCTCTCCCTCCCTAGACTCCATCAGTCCTACCCCCAGAGCTAACCGCCGTCAAGTTTCTGAGGGATCCTTCCAGAAATTTTCATGCATGTATATAATGTAAATGTGCATTCATAAATTCTCTTTTTTTACCCAAAAGGTAACATATTATACTGAATCTTCTATATATTTTTCTACTTAATTTATCTTTCATATTATCTCATACACATAAATCTCATACTTTTTGCATTGTATGACTATACCATAATTTACTTAACTAGTCCTTTTCCATAAATTGAGAAAAGACCACCCTACTTTCTCTTTAGTGGTGGTCTGCATGAGTCAAGCTCATAGACCCTGAGTGGTCCCCGGGTACAGACTTTGAGAACTACTGTTTTTCCCCAGAGAACCAGTAGGCCTTCTGCAGTCAGCCTGCTCTGATCCTGGTGCCATCTGGGTTGGCCCCAGCTAGCCCCTTGGAGGTTTTTGGCCCAAGTGACAACCTTTTTATTACCCAGCAAGGACTGCATTCCACATATCTGCAGGGGTCCCAGGACAAATGTGCCCCAAAGCCTCCCATCCTCTTCGCCTTCTCCCAGGTGCCCCACCTCACTAAGACCTGCTTCCCACAAGCAGTTCTGCAGATGTGCTTTCCCAGACGGAGGCTACAGAGTACTCTTGGTTTTCCCGAGCTGTCATCCCTGTCCTCTTCATCTGCTCTACCTTTCTTGTGCTGTGGGGATGTTCCAGGTCAAGTGGGGAAGGAAAGCCAGTGTCTGCCATTAGGAGTCTCGGAACCTTTATCAGGGCAGGATTTAATACCAGGTTCCTTTGCTGGAACTTCTCAAAATAGCCTGAGCTGGTCGTAGGTTCCGTTCCTGCTGTGGTAGAAAGAAATCTGGAGTATTTGCTGAGAGATCCAAGTTTTCACCTGCTGTTCAAATAACTAGGAATTTAACCTTCGGTAGCTCCCTCCCTTCCTTTGGGCCTCTGTTTCCCATCTATGAAATGAGAGGTCAGATAAAATTATGTCTGAGCCTTGCTCTAAAAGTCAGATTAATATGTATAGAGTGCTTACTGTGGGTCAGGTGCTATACCTGTCTCTTTTTATTCCTTTTTTACTAGTACAGAAACTGAGACTTAGAGGAAGTGAGTAAATTGCCCAGCATTACCCAGCTAGTAACTGGTAGAGCCTAGATTGGAGCTGCAAGTTGGTATTTCTCCAAGCCTGTGTTCATAAAACCAGTCGCTGTCGAGTTGACTCCAACTAATGGCAACTCTGTGTGTCAACATAAGACTGTGTTCCATAAGGTTTTCAGTGGCTGATTTTTTGAAAGTAGATTGTCAGGCCTTTCTTCCAAGGCACCTCTGGGTGGAGTGGAACCTCCAGCCTTTCAGCTGAGCCTGTTAACCATTTGCACCACCCAGGGACTCCCCTGTGTTCTTAACCACCACAGAGCCTGCCCTACAGAATAATAATAATAATAAAACAATAAAAGAAATTAATGCTATACACACCCCATTAGACAGATTATAAAACCTTTTAGGTAAACACTACAAACAAGTAAGAAAGAGATAAGCTGAAATATGTAAGGATCAATTTTATAAGGAAGAGCCTCTTGGACAAGTATCTGCAATTTTGTGTCGGCAGTTTTTTGACAGGGGTCGGGGGGAAGAATTTTAAACATCACTAGAGGGCAGTACTTTTTTTTTAATTGTTGTGCTTTAAGTGAAATTTTACAATTCAAGTTAATCTCTTACACAAAAAATTGTTATGTGACCGTTGTTGCTCTCACTATACTGTGACAGCACACTCCTCCTTTCCACCCCGGATTTTCTGTGTCCATTCAACCACCTCCTGACCCTCTCTGCCTTCTCATCGCACCTCCGGACAGGAGCTGCCCGTTTAGTCTGATGTATCTACTGGAACTAAGAAGCACACCCTTCACGAGTATCATTTAACATCCCACAGTCCAGTCTAATCTTTGTCTGAAGAGTTGGCCTCGGGAATGGTTTTAGTTTTGGGTTAACAGAGAGTCTTGGGGCCATGTCTTCCAGGGTCCCTCCAGTCTCAATCAAACTGTTAAGTCTGGTGTTTTTACTAGAATTTGAGTTCTGCACCCCACTTTTCTCCTGCTTCGTCAGGGACTCTCTGTTGTGTTCCCTGTCAGGGCAGTCTTTGGTGGTAGCTGGGCACCATCTAGTTCTGGTCTCAGGCTGATGCAGTCTCTGGTTTATGTGGCCCTTTCTGTTTCTTGGGCTAATACTTTCTTTGTGTCTTTGGTATTCTTCATTCTCCTTTACTCCAGGTGAGTTGGGACCAGTTGATGCATCTTAGATGGTTGCTCACTAGCTTTTAAGACCCCAGATGCCACTCACCAGAGTGGGATGCAGAACATTTTCTTAATAAACTTTGTTATGCCAATTGACCTAGATGTCCCCTGAAACGTCCCCAGACCCTAGAGGGCGGCACTTTTGAAGGCAGCTTCTGACTGATGTGTTTCTCAGATCCAGAACTATATTCAGTAAGTCGTATTTGCTGACTTTGGTACTTGATGGATTCTGAGACCTTAACCAAGTATCAGATTTCAAAGCAGTATAAATGCTCCAACAGCTGGCTTGGAATGTCATTTTCTCTGTTTGAACCTTGCCCCACCACCTGGGGCCCTGACCGATCTGCTTACCTCCCACCAGGTGGCTGCCTCCGGAGAGGGCTCTGCCATTAGCGGCTATCTCAGCCGGTATAAGAAAGGCAAGAGACACTGGAAGAAGCTCTGGTTTGTCATCAAAGGCAAAGTTCTCTACACCTACACAGCCAGTGAGGTACGGGTTGATTCACACTTGTTCCTCTCTCCTGCGAAGACCCATGGCATAGGTTTGCTCGTGCCTCAGAGCACCCACGTGGGGCGGTGGGGGGTCTGGGATGCTGGCACTCTTCTTACTTTAATCCACTCTTTATTGAGCAGTGCCCTGTGCTGACAGCTGCTGGAGACACACAACTGCCTGTTGGCTCCAAGTATAAGGAGTTTTCAGTTTCTTTGTGGAGATAAGAGAGTACCATAAAATTTTAAATGCCACATGCCCAGCATCTAATACAAGAAAGACACTTTATAAAAGAAAGTGCCTTTCTGCTTGCTACTTCAGTCATTTGGGACAAAATGCAACAGCTTGGAGGAAGCTGTTTGTTGCCATCGAGTCGGCTCCAACTCGTGGTAACCTTATGTATAACAGAACGAAACGTTATCCAGTCCTGTGCCATCCTCATAATCATTGCTGTGTTTGAGCCCATTGTTGCAGCCACTGTGTCAATCCATCTGACTGAGGGTTTTCCTCATTTTTACTGACCCTCTGCCAATCATGATGTCCTTTTATAGCGATTGGTCTTTCCTGATGATGTGTCCAAAGTAAGCAAGATGAAGTCTCAACATCCTTGCTTCTAGGAAGCATTCTGGTTGTATTTCTTCTAAGAATGATTCATTCTTCTGGCAGTCCAAGGTGTATTTGATATTTGTCACCAACACAATTCAAGTGCATCAATTCTTCTGTCTTTCTTAAGATGGAAGGTGAAGACACTATTATTACACCTTTATTATGTATTGTCTCATGGTAACTCTTCTAAATAAAACTTAAATTTGTGTTTTTATAGAACGTGTTACATTTATGTCTTCTAAAATGTAGAGAGCGAGCCTTGGAAAAACCAAGCCTTCCTCTGGAGCAGAGAGGTATAGGGGTATGGTGATACAGCAGAGGGTGTCTGGTCCTGGCCCGCCCCGACCTGTTAACTCCCACAGGCTAAATCCGCTTCGAAGGTGGGACTTCGGTGCATTCTGACAGGCTGCATAGGGGGCGTGTGCTTTACTCCACCAGAATGCGTATCAGTCAGAGGCTGGGCCCTTCTTTCCTGCCCGCAAATCCTGGAGGAGAAAGGGCAAAAGGCACTTCCTTTTGGGGGGCATAAAGCTTAGCTCATAGAAGGCCTACAACTGGACAGCTGCAGTCAACCCTGTCCTCAGGGTCACAGAGGCCAGCAGCAAAGCAGACAGACAGAGGGGCCCACTGTCGCCCTGGGTGACTCAGGCACTGTGAGCCTCACCCCCACCCTGCCAGGCGCTTTCACTCACATCACATGTCCACAGATTGGGCTTTCTGTGATGAGCAGAATTTTGGTCTCTCCAGAACAAAAGTTTGCTATGCTTCCCCTCTGCGGCCAAAGCAGCATCTTCCCAAGTAGGCATTCCACAGGACACATGGGGTTCTATAAAAACTAGTTCTCAGGGAACCCCAAGTAGGCAGTCAGGTAGACTTCCTCAGAGTCTCTAGTGTACTAAGGCTGTAAATGTCTAAGATGTAGAGATTTCCCAAGCTGCACCACGCAGAACTGTTGTTGCATAGAACATACTTTGGGGAGAAATACAGGCGTAGACAGATAACGAAGGCTACCAGTACCAGTTGCCATCAAGTCAGCTCCTACTCATGGCAGCCCCATTAGTGTCAGAATAGAACTGTGCTCCGTAGGGTTTTCAGTGGTTGATTTTTCAGAAGTAGGTCACCAGGCCTTTCTTTCAAGGCACCTCTGCGTGGACTGAAACCTCTAACCTTGCAGTTAGCAGGTGACCACATTAACTGTTTGCACCACCAGGCTATCATATATCTAGGACTCTTTTTTTTTCTTTCCCCAGCATTTTATCATAAAAATTTTCAACCGTAAAGAAATATCAAAATAATTTTACAGTGAACTCTCAGATACCTATCAACTGAATTATGTAATTAACATTTACCATACTTGCTTTATCTCATATCCATTTATTCATCCCTCTATCCATAATTTACATATAATGAAATGTACAAATCTTAAATATACTATTGGATGAGTTTTAACTAATGCACGTACCTGTAAATCTTCACCCTCACCCCATTCCCTAGAGGCAATGCACTATTCTGATTTTTTTCCACTGTCAACTAGTTTTGCCTCTTAGATCTTCATATAAATGGAGTCATATGTGACTTCTTCCACTCAACATGTTGTTTTTGAGATTTATCCATGTTGTTGCATATAGCAATAGTTCATTCCTTTTTGTTACTGAGTAGTATTCCATTTGGTGACTATATCACAGTTCGTTTTTCCATCCACCAGTTGAAGGACATTTGGGTTCTTGCTAGTGTTTGGCAGTTGTGAATAAATCTCCTTTAAACATGTGCATACAGATGAGCATAAGTTTTTATTTCACTTGTATAAATACCTAGGATTAGAGTTATTAGATCGAAAGGAAGGTATATATTTGGTTTCTAAGAAATTGACAGACCTTTTTCCAAATTGCCAGAATCATTTTATACTCCCACCAATAATGCATGAAAATTTTAGAGTTCTGGTGGTTCCACATCTTTGTCAACACTTGGTATTGTCGTTCTTTTTAAGTTAGCCATTCTGGTAGGTATGTAGTGATATCTCAATGTAGTGTTAACTTAGATTTCCCTAATGATTAATGATGTTAAAGCACATGATATTTTTCATGTGCTTACTGACCATTCACTTCCCTTTGGGAAGTGTCTGTTCAGATCTTTTGCTCATTTTTTTTAAGTGGATTGTTTGTCTTTTTGTTATTGAGTTATAGGAGTTCTTTATATATCCTTGATACTGGTCCTTTGTCAGATAAATGTTTTGTAAATGTTCTCACCCAGTCTGTGACTTGCCTATTCATTTTTATTAATAGTTTCTTTTGAGGAACAAAAGTTTTTCATTTTGATGAAGTCTAGTTTATCAATGTTTTCCTTTATGGCCTTTGCTTTCTGTGTCCTAATTAACCTTTGTCTACCCCAAATCACGAAGATATTTTCCCTTATTATCTTCTGAAAACTTTGGTTTTAGCTTTTACATTCAGGTCTATCTCAAATTAATTTTGGTGCATAGGGTAGGATGGGGATCAAGGTTCATTTTGTTTTTCCTTATGGATATCCAGTTACTCCATCACCAGTTGTTCCCTATTAGATTGTTTTGGTGTCTTTGTTAAACATCAAATGACTGAGTAAGTGTGGGTCTGTTTCTGGGCTCTCTATTCTGTTTCATTGATTCATTTACTAATCCTTATATCAATACCACAGTAACTTGATTACTATAACTTTATAGCAAGTCTTGAAATCAGGTTGTGTAAGTCCTTTACTTTTGTTCTTTTTCCTCTGAGCACTATTATTAAGATCCATCTGTGTTTCTCTAGGTACATCTCATCAAATGGTTAGCAACTTGATAGCACAGGTACTCTGAGTGCTCCTTATTTAGACACTGTGGATGAGGGTGTGGGGGAATGAGTACAGATTATGTTATCAGAGGTAACTGAAGAACTAACCGAGCCACTGATGAATTGAGTCAGTGGAAAGAATGTGGGGTTAGAAGGTAGCGGAGACTCCAAATGCTGGCTCTGCCTCTTACTAGCTTTGTGATATTGGGGAAGCTACTGACCTTAACTAGCTTCAGTTTCTTCTTAGAATGGGGGGTCACCCCTTGTATGATTGCTGTGAAGATTAAACAAGATAATAAAAGTGAAAACTCCTAGCCCCTAGTAGGCTGTCAAGAAATGGTTTGTTTCTTTCCTTCCTCCTGGCTGGTACGCCTATGTGGTTATTCTGCAGTGGCTATAGCATGCCCCACACATATGGGCTCTTCGTGCATCTGAGATTGGGGGTGACAGTAAGAGCCAAGCTCCTGAGTGTATGCCATATGGTGCTTAATATCAGTTTTTCCTTCTGCCCTCTGCAGGACAAAGTGGCCATGGAGAGTATGCCTCTGCTGGGTTTCACCATTGCGCCAGAGAAGGAAGAGGGCAGCAGTGAAGTAGGACCGATTTTTCACCTTTACCACAAGAAAACTCTATTTTATAGCTTCAAAGCAGAGGATACTAATTCAGCTCAGAGGTACCAAAATCACTAGCCCCGTACCCCCATGCCTCTCTCTAAAGAAAGTAAGTTGGTTCCCAGGGCCTCAGCTCCTGCTGTCCAGTTATCACATCCCATCAAGTCCCTACGGGCCAAAGCACAACAGCAGAACTACCTCTTCCTCGTCTAAGACTGTCTAGACTCATGACTCACTCACACAGGCAGGCACTGACTGAGCCATCTTTTTGCACTGTACTCCAGGCCCTCCGCTAAGTCCTTAGGAAACAAATATGAATATGACATGGTCCCTGACCTCAAACTAATAGTTCAGTCATGTATAGGTTCTGTGACCAGAGTCACAGGCAGAGCCACCAAACCAGGTGTCCTTGTTCTCTTTTGCAGATGGATTGAGGCCATGGAAGATGCCAGTGTGTTATAGCAGTTACCAAGTGTGTGGACTCAGAATAAACTCTTGGGTCGATATATGGACCCTTCCAGAAGCTGATCCATGTCTCGCCTCCTCTGGACATACATCTGGATTCAGCATGAGGCATGACCTTTTTTGCCATAACCCCCCCGTTACACTTTCACAAGTGGAACCCTCAAGGAGTATTTATGGACCCCTCCTTTTTGTCTTCGTTTTTTCCACCCCGTCTTATCCAGCAAAGAGTTAAGAATTAGTAACATGAAGACATGGAAACCAACAGAAAAGTACATTTAGAAAGACAGGCTTCCAGCAGAAACAAGCTCTTACAGTTTTTACTCATGGTGATAGTATCATGTTTCATGTTGTTGATTTGTGTGCCTCAGGTGCCATGAGCAACAACTAGGAAGTAGCAGCCACTCTCACTGAAAGCACTTTATTGTTTAACTGAGCTACAACCTCCAATTTTGTGTTTTCCAAGTGATTTACTGAAGTTAACAGCAGACGGGGTCCTGTGGACAAATTGGCCACCAGTGCTATAGCAAGGGTGCACACAAGTGGACGTGGCTTGCCCTTGGTCAGCAGGCGATTCTTGGAGGCCCTCCTGACTGTGGGTGGCCTTGCTCCCTGGATAGGAAGGGGAGGGTTTTGTCATCCTACTGATCACATGCCCTGTATCCAGACATAACTTAATTAAAGGAGAGACTCACTCCTTCCACCGTAGTCCTCAACACCACACCAGTGCTGAGAACTCAGCTGCCAGCAGATCCGTCCCCTGGAGGTCACCACAGCCCTCTCAAGTGTCAAAGTCCACATTCATTTATGGTGTGCCTTCCTGTTGTACCCCCATACAAGTGACAAAACTCTGTGTAAAAGAATACTTATTTTAGGCACAGTAGTCTTTCAGCAGAGTCTCTGGGAGGTACAAACAGTTAATGAGCTCAGCTGTTAACTGAGAAGTTGGAGGTTCAAGTCCACACAGAGGTGCCTCAGAAGAAAGGCCTGGCGATCTACTTCTGAAAAATGAGCCTTTGAAAACCCTGTGGAGCACAGTTCTACTCTGTACACATGGGGTTGCCATGAGTCAGGGTCGACTTGGTGGTGACTGGTTACTGGTTAATTCTTCAGCTGTATTACCGAAGCCTTTATATTTTTTGAAGGAGATAAAAAGAGAGAAAGCAAGATATCATCAGAAGGTGAATCTGTGGTCTTGGCAGATGGCTCTGGACACAGTGAGGGAGCACAGAAGTAATGGCTTGAAGATATTCTCTGAGTGCCTGGGGTAAAATCATCTCCCGCTGGTGACTGTTGCTCATTTTGCTTGACTGTTTTTTACATAAAGCAGGGGGTGTGTCGGGGCGGGATTCCTTGTTACTCTCATTGCAATAAAAAAAACAGTCATATCATTTTCTGATACCCTGTCCTCATCCTTCCCCTGCCCCCTAAACAAAGGCATTTGCTGACAAACCTTTTGTAAAAGCACCATCTCAAGGAGTTATTTACATTAAATATTTTCAGGGGAAATTTTTTTCTAGTTTGCAATTTTTCTTTTAAAATGTTTGCATTAAACATTTAATTAATGATTCAAGCTGAGTCATTAGGAGATCTTTTTTGTTAGTTTTTGAGGGCTTAATTCCACTTTGAATCATTTTCATCATCAAACATGTTTAAATGGGCCTTCTAGATTCTTGGTGTCCCTGGATGGTGCAAACAGTAATGCGCTTAGCTGCTAACTGGAAGGTTGGAGGTTTGAGTCCACCCAGGGATGTCTTGGAAGAAAGGCCTGGTGATCTCCTTAGAAAAATCAGCCATTGAAAACCCTATGGGGGGAAAAACCCTATGGAGCACAGTTCTACTTTGAGGTCAGTGAGGTCACCATGAGTTGGAATCGACTCCATGGCAATTGGTAGTTTCCTAGACTCTTTTAATTCTGAAAACAGCAAGACTTCCATATAAGGCAGTGGGGATTTTTCCCAACTTGTCACATGCTGCCAAGCACCATCAGTTTCTGAGCACCAGATAGAATTCTGAATCCGAAGGTCACCTGAAGTCTCTTTTACTTTATAACATCCTACATCTGATACTCTGTAAAGAAGAGGTAATAGTGCTTTTCTCACTGAATAAAACCAAAACCAAACCAAACCCATTGCTGTCAATTCTGACTCATAGCGACCCTATAGGACAGAGTAGAACTGCCCCATAGGGTTTCCAAGGAGTACCTGGTGGATTGGAACTGCCGACCTTTTGGTTAGCAGCGAAACACGTAACCCCTATGCCACCAGGGTTTCCTCTCACTGAATAATCACCCTAATAAAAATGCCTGGATTATAAATAAGCCATACTGGGTGGATTTTATAAAAGGAAACTGGCGGGGGCTACCGAGAGCTTCCGTAGCTCATTTGTGACTGGGCAAAGGCCTGCCTGTTCTATCTCAACCTTGTTTTTACATGTCCTTCCTGTGGTTCTTGGTGTACTCATCTCATGCTCGTTTCCACAGGCCAGCTTTGCACGGTGTGCATCTTCGTTACCTAGTGCTACCGTAACACCAGTGGGCGGTTTTAAAGAAAAGGTATTTATTATCTCACAATTCTCAGGGCTAGAAGTTCAAATCAGGGTCTCAGCCGTGTCAGTTCCTTCCATGAGCCTCTCTCCTAGTTTCTGGTGTCTGTTGGCAATGCTTGACACATTTTTTTGCTTGGGGCCCTGGTGGCACAGTGGTTAAGAGTTCGGCTGCTAACCAAAATGTCAGCAGTTCGAATCTACCAGCCACTGCTTGGAAACCCTATGGGACAGTTTCACTCTGTCCTGCATGGTCAGTATGAGTCAGAACCAACTCAATGGCAATGGCTTGGGTTGGGTTTGGTTTAGACAGTCCTCACATGACATGTGTCTTTCCCCGTGTGTGTATGTCTGTCTGTTCTGGTCTTTTACAACTCAGAAGTGATTAGGTTTAGTATCCACCCTACACTGGTAGGACCTCAACTGATTGACTGATTACATTATATTAAATTGCATTATGAAAGGTCATTATAGATGTCAGGTAGTCCCTGGGTGGCACAAACAGTTTGCACTTGAGAGGGACACCTCAGAAGAAAGGCCTGTTGACCTGCTTCTAAAAGGTCACAGCCTTGAAAAAACACTACATTATGGAAGACCAACTGGCCTAATTACATGTAAGTACCCCAGACACTTGACTAGTGTTTGGCCAAACAACTGGGAACCAGGGCATAGCCTAGCCAAGTTGACACGTAAAATTAACCTTCCCTACGTTTATCTTTCTCCAGCCTGTTTCCCATGTCCATGTCATGGATCTCTGTGGGGCCTGCCCAAAGTAACGGGGAGGATGCCACCCACTCTGGTCTGAGGGAAGTCCTTTCCACTGCCCACCAGAGGCTTGGGAAATGACTGGCTTCCACGAGGTAGGGATGCTGCCCAGAGCCCCCACTGCTCCTCCCCACTGCTCCCCCAGCACAGAAAATGTGAGGAAGCAGGCTATGACAGGCCAAGCTGTGGCCCAGAAATTAGAAAACTCCAGCTGTAGGCAAATCATTCACTTGAGTAGCTCTGAGCCTTAGTTTCTTCATCTGTAAAATGGAGATCATTCTAGCTTCTCTCAGAGGGTTGAAGTGATAAGGCCCAAACTGAATGTTTGTGAAAGTGATCTGAAAACCACAAGCTGATAGAGAAGTGTACGGCATTATTAGACAAAATAAAATCTTGGGCCATGCTCACTAACCATATGAAATGAAGACAGTAAACACAAAAGCCTGCCTTCTTAACCAGGAAAATGGCAAGGAAGAGAAGGCCTGAAAAGGGCCTGGCACAATTAAGTTTGACTCCTTTGGTTACTGGGTCTTTCTTCCCTTTCACTTGTTTTTAATTATGTCTCCCTGAGCTCCTTACATGTGGACCAGAAAAACACAGGCCTTTGCAAGGTTGGCCACTATGACAAGGCCAGACAGACCCTCCGTATTCCAATTCTTTGGGAGGTTCCCATAATCTCATAGATGATTAGCTGAACTGTTTATCCCCACTGATTAATTAGAACAAAATGCTTCTTAAGCGAAGTTTAGTTAAGATTCTCTCCTTCCCCCAAGTCCCTAAACTTTGGCTCACTTTCAGCCTGAGCTGGCAAACAGCTTCTCCTTAAGGGCCTTTCCTGAAAATAGGCTGGCCTCAGCAAAAAACCTTCTATGATCTATTATTCGATCAAGGCACCCTTTCATTCCACCTCCACACGCCTGGTTCTTTCTAGCCTTGTTTAAACAAACAAACAAACCCATTGCCATGGAGTCAATTCCGACTCAAAGTGATCCTCTAGGACAGAGTACAACTGCCCCATAGGATTTCCAAGGAGTGGCTGGTGGATTCAAACTGCTGACCTTTTGGATAGCAGCTGTAGCTCTCAACCAGTGCACCACCAGGGCTCCAGCCTTGTTTACTCCTCTCTGTAAAAGAAAAACATTTTCGCCTAACTCTTGAGATGCTTATGGATTCTGTGTTTGGAGCAGTCGCCCTGTTGCCGTGGTTCCCACCCCCTTGAAATAATCCTTTTCAATAAAGTCTCTCCTTACTAAGTCAAAAAAATAATAATAAGATTTTATGAAAGTCAGGATTTTTCTGAAAGCAAGTACACTTACTTTACATTATGGTCACTTTACTCGTTTTTCCAACCTGGGTTGGTCTTTTTTCTTTTTTTGTATTTTATTTATTTTCGGTGGCAGTATACACAAGCAGACATATATCCGTTCACAATCCCTACATGAGCAGTTCGGTAACACTGGTTACATACTCACATTGTGTCACCATTCTCACCCGTGTTATTTCATCACCGTTAATTTACGCTCTCTGCCCCTTAACGTTATCTGTGCTTTAGATTAACTGTTGTCAGTTTGAACTCATATAGATAATTGTTTATAAGAGCTCTATGCTCAAGGCAAACGTTCTTTATTAATTGTGCTAAACTGTTTAACGATGGCTTCATGGGACAGTTTTGATTCAAGGTTTAAAGATTA